TGAATATTCGTAAAACAAGAACAGACCAATAACGGGAACGAAACATGGTAACACCAAGGCGGCGTTCAAACTTCGCGAAGACGCGTTGTACGTTGCGTCATCACGAAGCTTGACGCTGTCTGAACAGGAGAACGTAAAGTGTATCGTGCAAGTCAGCAGAATTACTGTTAAAAAGAAATGCATACCATGTAGAGCCGCACTAAGCAAATTAGCTAAAAATCCAAACACACTAACATGACAGTTTGGCTATAGCTATAACCCTGGAATCTTAAATTGTGATGTAAACTAGCTTTACAGTATACAGTACCAAAGAAAAAATCAAAGAAGGGATGCGCGCTGACGTAGCAGATGTACGCAGTACATAAAATCATCTGGGAACAAAAATTGAAATATCAAATTCAAACACCTAACAACTCTCCAAATTCAAACACCTAACAACTCTCCAATCTTTTTCCTGTCACGATTTACGAATCTATCGTTCAAAGTCGTTTTTTCCTGTTGTTCTTTGACCTTCTGTAGTTGTTCTTGCTCATCATCCGTGGGAAAGACGTTCACAGGAACGAACTCAAAATCTTTGCTCATATAAACATACGCGTATTTCTTGTCGTTCTCTTTCCACATTGCTTTCTTGTACTGACGATCCAATGGTGTGCTCCACGTGATGTCACCCATTTGAACTTCTGTGCGTACGCTTCTCACCGGAAGGTCATAGATCTTGGTAAGATATTCCTTTACATCATGCCTCGTCATCCTTGGGTCCACTTCAAACTTCACGCAGTTCCTGGGCAACTTGTATCGACCAACAACGGGCGTTGAAGTTACGGCCACCCAGAAGTCAGGGAGGAAGACATAGTTCTGGATACCTTTCTGCCAAATACGCGGAGTACGAGTCGACATCTTGGCTGTGGCGTCAGAACGAGCACTTTCCTCCGTACAGAGTTAACCTCAACAAACTGAATGAAATCAAGGCGATCATAGATAGACGGTCAAGACAATCGTAACCCGCTGTTCCGTCGCCCGCGGCAATGGACGCGGCTTTTTCTTAATTTGCATTACCATGTCTGCTGGAGCACCATATTTTAAGTATACTACGACATCTTGGACAATGTGGCTATTTCCCCTTACACATTTTATATCGTCGCCATCTACGACCAAGAAACATCGTCATTCAAGGGCGCGACGTTGCACGCGACGCCCACCTGCGCGGCGAATTACGATTGTCTTGTCACACACCCGGCTTTATGTTCATACATTCTTTAGCACTAGGTATTAGGATGAGACCACCTACAATCGCAACTGAGCTCTCAATAAATAAATCAATACGTTTTATTCATATACAAATGAAATGAACAGAGGAAGACTTCTCTAAAATAAATACATGTAACTCTATTTCACAACACGAACCTTATTGCGTTCATAGAATTCTATTCACAAACACAAAGTGAGTGGTACGACAGCACGAACAGCAAACTCAGGAAAGCTGCACATGTAGATATAAGTATCTAGTGAAAAGACAAGTTCTCAGGACAAAAATGCGACACGTACATCAAAGCAACGTCATGTGCGCGGAGGAAAACCTTGTTTTCAGATGATTTTTGCACCGATATCTGGTTTATATATCTCATACAACAAAAGGATGGCAAACAACAATGAAGTTAATCAAGACAATGTCTCCTATTGGCCCGACAAGTACTGCGAGAAGTACTATGCACTTTGGGCACACGCTAAACAGAAAAGTGAAGTTGCACAAAAATCTACTCGTCATGAAAGAGATTAAAGTGTATCTCTAAACATATCCTATTGCTAAGAAACAGATATTAAGTGCTGCGTTCATACTTTGCGGCAGCGTTCCGAGATTCAGCGTTTTGAATGTCCACTGGATCATTGGTTCCTTCGAGCGACGAGGAAAGCATAAGTATCGATTATCGTGCAAGCGCTGGTGGACGCTCGAAGCGCGGTCGCAAAGCATGAACACTCTCTTGTATCCAATGAAGAAAAATTTCTCACATAGTTGCATAAAAAGAGGCCAGTCGACCGAGCTCTTTTTCTATTTGTACAGGAAAAAACAACCCCAACCTTCCCAACAACATCACATGAGTCACTAATGCTCTCAAAACGGGAAAAGATCCCAGAAACCGAGCAGAACCCTACGATTACCAACCAGCTGCATTACACTGGACTGCGAGACTCACCGCACCGTTTTAGTACGAGACTTTTTTGTAAAAATCCTATTATAGGAGTCTGCCTGGCAGCGTGGACCTTATGTCACGCCCATGTCAAAACCCAAAAAAACTATTCTGTTCTGCTAATCATAAAGGTAACCACTCTCTTAACCTCAGCTTCACCTTATTTGAATCAGCGGACAAAAAAGATGACTGAAGATCACTAATTAATTTTACTCTTCGTCTTGGCACTATCGGAGTAACTCCTTGTCAACTTAGCCATAATATAACAGTTAACAATAAGGAACAATATTGATGCCACCCATACGAATTCAAGCGTACGCCACTTGCGGAACTCATACAGATAGGCAAAGAACAACCAAATTCCTTGACTGACGAACCACATTCCAATCAACTGCACTGCTTCCTTCACAGTCATCTGAAAAAGCTTTCAGCACCTAAACATCCAGTATCTGAAAAAGCTTTCAACCTAACATCCAGTACTGACATCACTTTGTGGAATACTGTCATCAGAGCTGTAATGAGCACAAATGCAGTCGACTTCGGTACGTGAAAGCACGAAAAGAGCGGAACTATAAAAAAGACAACGAAAAACAAAAAAAAAGAAAAAGAAACATGTCCTGAGAACACAGGAACGTATAATAACAATGGTGAATTCACTGTGACCCGGAATTCATCCAAATGATTCAAAAGGTGATAAGAACGTGGCTCCCAAACAGCATAGATTAGTCGCGTAGTAAATGCATGTATAGCCAGCCTCCGAATAGGAATGTGCACGAACATCCCATCCCCTACGATCACCTTACAGGAAGCCGTCCTCATCCACATAAGGTAGGCAGGCCAGCGGCGGAGGACAAGGTTGTGCCACTATCTTAAAGTGAAACTGTTCAAAAAAGGGCGCTAGGAGCTAGTGACGGTAGGGTGCCTCCCACCCGAACCAAGAAGTCCCGCCCACTTTAAGATCACGATTAACATCGATAATTGGGGAAATGACAAATTTATAATGGCCAAAGCGCCGCGATGGGGAGAATATTTACCCCTCAATCCCCAACAATTCAAAATCAGGTCAAGTTTTTTTAGCGACTTTTTTCTCCAACAGCGGATTCAGCTAAAAGTTTGTCTTTGGAGGTGGTCTGAACTATCACAACCGCTTAATTCCAAACTGCCTAGAATGCGCGCTACACGCGCCGAGGTTCAAATAGGCACGTGGTGCAGTCCCCTGTACGGTGCCAGGCATTTTGACCGAAGCGAATGTGATATTCAGGGCTACCAAGTCGACCTACCGTTCAGGGCGAATTTTTAGCGAATCTGGCGACTTAGTATATTTTGACGCTGGCGCCTATGGTGCGGACGTTAAGCTGCTTCAGGCCTAGCGAATGTGGCATTCGTGTTGAAGATGTCAGACTACCCTTGGACACAGTTTCGTTCAAATCCGCCCTTCGGAGAAAAAAACTCAGCAAACACTGCCCTGACTTTGGAAGAATGGGGCAGCAAAGGGTGAATAGTGCTGGAAAAGGAGCTGACATAATCCCTACATCAACCAAACAAAAACACATCCGAACACATCCATGTTGACATAATGCTCGGGAGGAAGCTATCTTGTTGGGATCTCTTTGGATCTCTTTTCAAGTTTTTCTGCATAGACGCCATATTACGGTCGCTGCCTTCATGGTAATCAAAGGCAAGAGCTCCGATAACTTTTCTAATTTCACGCTGAATACCGAATGCACGTTCTTCCCCAGGGAGTCCTGTGGAATAGGAAAAAACGAAAGGGATGGGAAAGCAGAAATATAGATGAAATTGAACAAATCGATGGTAATTTCGTTTGTCATTTGAAATGACGGTTTTAACAACATTCTAGAGAGATCGTTT